CATCTGACATCTTTTGTTATCCACTCTAAGAAGTTCTTTTATTATTTCTTTGATTATTTTCCTATCTATAATCTCAACATTTTATTTCTCCGAAGTCCCCGTTTTGAGTATCATAGTTTTGATCCCAAGATTCTTGTCTTTATTTATTTTTGTCTGCACATTGTATCCTCTGGATATAACTTCTCAACAAAAACTTCTGTATTTACTCTAAAACTCTCTTTCCTAAGATGGGTGTCTCTATAGTCCCGGCTACTTGGGAGCCTGAGGCAAGAGGATCACTTGAGCCCAAGAGTTTGAGGTTGCTGTGAGCTATGATGCCAGAGTACTCTACCTGGGGCAAGAGTGAGCCTCAACCTCCCAGGGTGCAAGGATTACAGGTGTGAGTCACCACACCTGGCACCTTCTTGGGGGTGTCCCTTTTTATTGCATTAATTCTTTCAGAATGTCTATGAATGCTATTTTTGCTTTCTGTAGCTTATCTCCAGGGATTATGAGGAATCAAGTACTGGCAGAATGTGCCAGTAATTTGTCTTCTGGATGTGGGAGCATAGAGTTTCCTCCTGGGTATCTCCAGTCTCCTGGGGGGCAATGTCTGGCCTGTCAGGCCAAAGGACTCTCACTGCTTCAAGGCTGAGTGAGAAGACCTCAGGTGCTTGATGCTTGGCTAAGAGGGCAAGGGATGGCAGCAGCGACTCCTTGATCAGTCTCTCCACTGCTTTGTGTTCTGCCATTTCCTCCACCATCATTTACTTTGAAGACCCCCCAGAGACACTTCAGATTTTCTCAGCAGCCCTTCCTCTGCGTATAGTTTGGGTTCTATCAGTGGTTTCTTCTAGTTATGTAATTTATCTGCTTTTCATCTTTCAGAGATTCTTCACGTTTCTTTCTGCAGATAGAATTCTTTCTTATGGTACTACATTGATTTACCTTTTTAAAATATATTTTTTGCCATTTGTAGGAATTGAGGTGGGAAGATGATATTGACATTTGTGCTCAGTCCACCGATGATGAAATTTGTCTTCTGTGCTTTTTCTCCTGCTCTTCTTTCCTTCATTCAGTTATTCCTTCATACCCTGCAAGGCTACTGAGCAGAAACTCTGTGGCACACTTTGTGATGAGCTGGTTTTCAAGAAGGTGTGCTATTGATGCCAATATCTGTATTATTCCAGGTCAAGCCATGGTCAGTTTGGTCACAGAAGTAAAATGGTCTGAATTGTCTCTCATTTTTCCTAACAGAGGTGATGATGCTGTGTTTGCATCAGTCTGTGTGAACAATTTATCTTGACCGTGCATCATCTTTTCTGGGTGGCCAGTCAAGGGCAGAATTGTAGTATTTGACCACCAGTTAGCGAAACCAACTGCTCCGAGTACTAACGATCAAACCGTCTTGGCCTCATTTACACAGTGTCAGACATAAGAGTACTGGCTGCATAATTCTCAACACTGTTCGTAAAAGTGAACACATTATCTGATGACTTTTTCATTCCTATTAATATTTTCCTACTGACATGTCTCTTACATCTGGCCCATTCCCTGTATTCCTACTGTTCTACCCTAGTTTGATCCCTATTCTCTTTAAAACAACCTGTCTAGATAACTGGCTTAGTGCCTACTCTTTAGAAATCCTCCTAAGATTTGTTTTCATTGAATTAATGAACCTACTAAGTGGTTTCTCAGATTATAGTTTCTCTTACTTCAATACATATTTCACATTCTTAGCAATAAAATTTCTAAAACACAGATCTGACTCTGTTATTTCCTTGCGTAATGTGAAAGTCCTCAGGTCACATTTTCTATAGATTATTTTATTAAGAAGTTTGTATAAATATTGACAACAGAGACAGACAGTAATACTTTACAAGTTCAAATGTAACTATTTAGCCGTAAAGCAGAATAGCAATTCTAACGGTGATTGGGCAACAGGAAATACCGAGTAGAAGCCACACTAATGAATTAGCTAGGATAGAAAGTTAATCAAAAAATGAATGAGGGCTTGGCGCCTGTGGCTCAAGTGGCTAAGGCGCCAGCCACATACACCTAAGGTGGCGGGTTTGAATCCAGCCTGGGCCCACCAAAACGATGACAGCTGCAACCAAAAAATAGCCGGGCATTGTGGCAGGTGCCTGTGGTCCCAGCTACTTGGGAGACTGAGGCAGGAGACTCACCGGAGCCCAGGAGTTGGAGGTTGCTGTGAAAGCATAGAGTTTCCTCCTGGGTATCTCCAGTCTC